CTATTTTTGTTTACCCTAAGTGTGTGTAGACTATAAAATCTCACTTCCATTCTGTATGTGCACTGACTTCTGCCTTTCTGCTCCTCAGAATTTATTCTAAGGCTTCTGTTCTTAGATATATTTTTATTTTCTGAACCATAAAGATAGAACAGGAGTTTGTTTTAGAATAACATAGTTAATGCAAATTGCATGGTTTATCTCTTCCGTCTCAGATGTGTCTACAGGCTTTGGAGATAAATTTGACACTACAGGACATGCAACACTATATATTAATATTCTGCACTGATGCTACATGAAACACTTTAAAGTTGCAAGACAGTGCACAATGTAGCTCGTTTGTTTATTTTTTACTCAGACAGCTCAGCAGATGTGCAATGATCACACTACTGCAACCACCACATTGTTACAAGTTAAAACCTTGTGAATAAAGTTTAACAAACGAAGATGTTGATGAAAGGCCCCTATTTATATTTACCTCTCGGAGTGCTGTTGATTTGAGTCTCAGTTAAGATATCCAAATACTTATGAGAGCCAGTCTTTATTAAGGCACTGCATGCATCCAGTCTCCTTGCTAGAACAGTTAAACAATTGCCTCATTTCGGTATGAAAGTGGCATACACCAGTGAGGGACACCATAATACTGTGAATTAATATTGATCAATTGCCTTAAGTAAGCTTTATTTGTCAGCTTACGAAAGGTTGTTTAGCACAATACTGAATTAATATTGTATACAAATTTCTTTATCTTTTTGGCTGTTTCAAATTGTATCAAGCTGATTATTAATTTAAAAACTTGTCAGCTTGGATGTGAAATTTCTGGGGCTGTTGATTAATCGCAGTTAACTCATGCGATTAACTAAAAAAATTAATCGCAGTTAAAAAAATTAATTAATTAATCACACTGTTAAACAATAGAATACCAATTGAAATTTATTAAATATTTTGGATGTTTTTCTACATTTTCAAATATATTGATTTCTATTGCAACACAGAATACAAAGTGTACAGTGCACACTTTATATTATTATTTCTTATTACAAATATTTGCACTGTAAAAATGATAAACAAAAGAAATAGTATTTTTCAATTTACCGCATACAACTACTGTAGTGCAATCTCTTTATCGTGAAAGTAACTTACACATGTAGATTTTTTGTTACATAACTGCACTCAAAAACAAAACAATGTAAAACTTTAGAACAGTGGTTCTCAAACTTTGTTGCACCGTGACCCCCTTCTGACAACAAAAATTACTACATGATCCCAGGAGAGGGGACCAAAGCCTGAGCCTGCCCAAGCCCTGCCACCCAAGTGGGAGGGCCAAAGCCCAAGCCCCAGCAAATCTAACGCCAGCCCAGGTGACCCCATTAAAATGGGGTTGCGACCCATTTTGGAGTCCCGACCCACAGTTTGAGAACCACTGCCTTAGAGTCTACAAGACCACTCAGTCTACTGCCTATTGCTAAGACAAACAAGTTTGTTTACATTTACGGGAGATACTGCTGCCCGCTCCTTATTTACAATGTCACCTGAAAGTGAGAACAGGTGTTCGCATGGCACTTTTGTAACCGGCGTTGCAAGGTATTTACGTGCCAGATATGCGAAACATTCGTATGCCCCTTCATGCTTCGGCCACCATTCCAGAGGACATGCTTCCATGCCGATGATACTCGTTAAAAAAATAATGCGTTAATTTAATTTGTGACTGAACTCCTTAGGGGAGAATTGTCCTGTTCTGTTTTACCCGCATTCTGCCATATATTTCATGTGTTAGCCGTCTCAGATGATGACCCAGCACACGTTCGTTTTAAGAACACTTTCACAGCAGATTTCACAAAATGCAAAGAAGGTACTAATGTGAGATTTCTAAAAATAGCTACGGCACTCAATCCAAGGTTTAAGAATCTGAAGTGCCTTCCAAAATCTGAGAGGAATGAGGTGTGGAGCATGCTTTCAGAACTTCGATGCGGAAACTACAGAACCTGAACCATGAAAAAAGAAAATCAACCTTCTGCTGGTGGCATCTGACTCAGATGATGAAAATGAACATGCATCGGTCCGCACTGCTTTGGATCGTTATCGAGCAGAATCCATCATCAGCATGGACGCATGTCCTCTGGAATGGTGGTTGAAGCATGAAGGAACATATGAATCTTTGGTGCATCTTGCGACGCCGGCTACAACAGTGCCATGCGAACACCTGTTCTCACTTTCAGGTGACATCACAGGCGCCGACTCTGTGGGTGCTCTGGGGCTGGAGCATCCATGGGGAAAAATTGGTGGGTGCTCTGCACCCACCGGCAGCTCCCCACCCCAGCTCGCCTCCGCCTCCTCCCCTGAGCGCACTGCATGCCAACTTTTCCCCCCTAGCTCCCAGCGCTTGCGCCGCGAAACAGCTGTTTTGTGGTGGCAAGTGCTGGGAGGGAGGGGGGAGGAGGGGGAATGCAGAGTGCTTGTGGAAGAGGCGGGGCTGGGGTGGGAATTTGGGGAAGGGGTCTAATAGGGGCAGGGAGGGGGCGGAGTTGGGGTGGGGACTTTGGGAAAGGGATTGGAATGGGGGCAGGACAGGGGTGGGGAAAGGGTGGAGTCGGAGCGGGGCAAAGGGCGGGGGGGGGGGCGCGAGCACCCACCGGCGCCAGGCAAAGTTGGTGCCTATGGGTGACATTGTAAACAAGAAGTGGGCAGCATCATATCCTGCAAATTGTAACCAAACTTGTTTGTCAGAGTGATTGGCTGAAGTAGGACTGAGTGGACTTGTAGGCTCTAAAGTTTTAAATTGTTTTATTTTTGAATGTAGTTATTTTTTGTACCTAATTCTACATTTGTAAGTTTAAATTTCATGATAAAGAGATTGCACTACAGTACTTGTATTAGGTAAATTGAAAAATACTATTTATTTTGTTTTTTACAGTGCAAATATTTGTAATAAAAATAAATATAAATTGTAATTTATAATGTGTTTTAATTGAAATCAATATATTAGAAAATGTAGAAAACATTCAAATATTTAAATAAATGGTATTATATTATTGTTTAACAGCACGATTAATTGAGATTATTTTTTAATCAAGATTAATCGTGATTAATTTTTTTAATTGCTTGACAGCCCTAGAAATTTCTTAACCGGCTTTGGATGATGAAATAGCAAAATATTAAATTGTTGAGGTATCAAATGCATTAATACAATTGGTGGAACAAAAGTAGGCTTAATTTGTTCAAACAAATTTGGAGCATGTGATCAATGTAGAATGGTTGAAACAAATGTATTCAAATGTCTAAAATATACAATTTTCAGTTACTGGAAATGTGCAATACATAATTAGTTTCTGTTCAAAGCAACTCACTTCATAATAAAATTATACACTTTATACACAGAATTAAAGTGTTTTTAAATTGTAACAATTTATTGTGGCATGCTGCTGATCCCATTCAATTAATTATTATTGTAAAAAAAAAGCAAATGGGGGAAAAACATTAGAAAACCACAAACAGTAGAAGAAAGGTGCATTAAAATAACTGTAAAGGTCAGAAATTAGTCTTCAGAAGCAAGGAAATTCTGAATGAAGTTTGCTGTTGCACCAATTTCTCACTTCTGTGCCTTATGCTGCAAACACATGATCCTTTATCTAGAGCAGTGGTTTTCAACCTTTTTTCATTTGCAGACCACTAACAAATTTCAAATGGAGGTTCGGACCCCTTTGGAAATCTTAGACATAGTCTGTGGACCCACAGGGGGCTGCAGACCACAGGTTGAAAACCACTGATCAAGAGGTATTTGTTTAATCGTATCCCCTGAAGATAAGACAGTTTTTGTGGTGACAACAATTACCTTGCTTTTGTAGTATGCAGTGTTGTAGCTATATTGATCCCAGGATAGTGGACAGACAAGGTGGGTGAGGTAATATCCTTTACTGGACCAACTTCTAGATATTATCTCACCATCTTGTTTCTTGCTTTTGTAAGTCTATCACGCATCCTTACTGGGATATGTTCACAATTCAATGCACTTGGCTTAAAATGTGTTGCGCAAATCCCAGTGGGAATTGTGCAACTAATTTCCACAGATCGGACCACTGAATTAAGGACCTGTGGAAATGTGGGACCAGCCCTCTCCTGTCTCCTGCACAGATGGGTTTCCCACCTGTCATTTAGGGCTTTGAAACTAAGGACCAAGCTCTTAACCTTAGTGCAACATTGGCAGTGATGGCGGAGATTTAGGCACATGGATCCCATAGCATCCCAGCACACCTCTGGGAAAAAAACATCTGCCCTTGAAATAGGGTGTGTTCCCGCCCCCCCCCCCAATTCCTTGGAACGTGTGTGTGTGTGTGTGTGGGGGGGGGCTTTTCCTCTGATACCTCCTGTGTGGAAACATATAGTGTCTGAAGGAGCCTCAGTCACCACGCAGGAGAAGTTTCACCTGGTGCAAGCGGGTTTCCCCTTGTTCTGACCCAGGCAGCGTGTGACAGGGGTTGGCGGATTGGCAGGAGGGGGGACGACACAGCTGCTTGTGGCTGCGCTGTGCGGCGTCAAACGGGCTAACACCCCGCTACCTGGCGGAGGGCGGCACTTTTTCCCTTGGCGGGCTCCGCCTCCGAGGCTCTCTCACGGGCTGGGCCCGGAGAGGGGGACCCCCGAGCTCCCTGAGGGGGACAGTGGCGCTGAACTGTGACAGCCCCACGACGGGGGAAGCCGCAGGAGGCGCGGGGGAGCAGGAACCGTGAAGCCTGAAGGGGCAGCAAGAAATGGAGGGAAGTGGGGGGGGGGGGGGGGGGGGGGGGGAGAAGTTGGGGAGGGAGAAGGGCGGGAGGAGCCAGCTGCGGGAACAGAGGTGAGTGACGACAGAGGGGAGCCAGCCCAGGGGCGAGCAGAGCTCCCCCGCCCGGGGAGCGGAGGAGGCGCACGAGAAGGCGGTGCCTTTCGGAGGAAGTTTGCGCTCCGACTGAAGAGGAGAGAGAGAGAAAAAACACCCCCGATCCGAAGCGGCCAGCCCCGGCTGAGCGGCTCTTGCGAAGAGGCGCGTAGCTCCCCCACGCCAGCCGCCTCTCCTGCAGACCGGCCCCGGGAGCGCTCGGAGCCGCTGCCGCCCTCCCGCAGCTCGTGTCCGGCGCTGTAGCCCCTGCCCGCGCCATGGGCGGCTCTGCCTCCAGCCTGCTGGACGAGAGCAAATGCAGCTACATCCGAGGTACCGTACGGCGCTGCTGCCTGCCGGCCCGCAGACAGTCGGTACAAGTTAGGCGGGGGGACGCGGCGATTCGTGGGGCGGTTCTGAAGTTGCAAAGTATTTGGCGGCTGGCTGCCTCCCAGTCTGGATGCACCCTGAGACCCAGTGACAGGAGACAGGCAGCGGCCACACCACCACGTTTGCATCTGAATTTTAATCCGGGGAGGGAGGAGAAGGGGAGGGGGAGAAGTTGGCTGCTTTGGGGAGAAACGATGCTGCTTAAAAGACTAGCAGTGTTCGGTGTTTGCAGAAAGTGAAAGCAGCAGGCAGACAGGACAGTGGCCACTGGAGAGATCTGAGAGGTAGGCAGGAGCAATTGATACTTCTGGGTAACTCATTGTAATGAGCACCGACCCTGCTGTATCTGCCGGCCAACGGATCAGGCAAAGCCTGTTCTCAGGAGCCTCCAGGACCAGACGTGCAGAAAGCAGCACAGCTAGAATGGCAGGTTCACTGCATGACAGAGTGCCCCAGACCTTTCTGCCTGGCACTGGGACAGGGGACTGAATGGGTGGGTTTGGGTGCTAGTGCCCTTTTACAGAGGGACTCCCAGTAAACTAGAGTCCCAGCCTGAAGTTAGTGTACAAATTAGGCAAACTCGGCAAGGGGGAGCGGAGGAGGGCAGGAAACGTACCGGCGGAGGCAAATATTTTTGTTTTTGGAAAGTAAATACATCTGCTTGCATCGCCCTCTCCAGATGGAGGCTTTTCAATTTTAGGGGTAACCAAATAAAACCAGGCAGTTGAGACTGGATAATTATCAATCATACATTGAAAGTATGTGAACTATACCATCTTGCCATTGTTGAAAATGCCTTCCATGCTGTCTGGGGCCCATTAAAGTTGTGGGACTTCAGCAAAGCATTTAACCATGTGCTGAATTGAGGAACGGGGCAGATCACTTCAGAGAGGGCCAACATGATTCAAAGCAAATTATTTTTCACATGCCAATAATAATGCTTTTTTGCTCTTAATGATTGGCCATGCTTTGCCTAAAAATAAACACATGAAATCAGAGAGGGCCAAAATGCCCTGAAACTGGAAAGAGTGTCCACCTGATGTCAAGACCTCAACTCTGTGGTCCTCTAAATGGCACTATCAGCTTTGTATGCTGGCCCTAAGAGCCCGATTTTGCAAAATCCTTTGAAGCTAATAAAGTTTCCTCTGGGTTTTGGATTAGATAGATAATCCAGAAAGGATTTGAGTTACCCAGACCACTAAGGGGTTCTGTCACCACCTGCCTTGTAATGTTGGGTGCCTTAATACTATGCCTATGTGGCTCAGAGCTCTGACACCAGTAGCCAGTCTACAAGCATAAAGCATAAACTCTGCCTTCCACATGACTTCAACAACCCCTGTTCTGGTCTGGAGTTCCCCCCAATCTGTTTCCCTGAGTTCTTAATGACCAGGTATTCAGACTTTTCCACTTCGGCTCATCACCCCTCAAGGAATGAAACCTCTCCCCACCTATCAGTTCACTTTGGCAAACACACTCCCCACAGTTTGCACAACAGAGGTCAGTTTGGGGTAAAATAAAAGTTTGTTTAATAGAGAAATCATAGAATCAAAGGTGAAACAGTAAGGAAAAGCAAACACAGACAAGTTACACAGAAAATAAACATAAAGATGCAATCTCAGGCTTTACATTTCTATATTATCTAAATTCCCCTTTCGCCTTTCAGACTATGGAATTCGTTTTTATACAGAGCCGGGGAAACTCCCTCCTTCCTTAGTTATCCAAGACTGGGATTTTCTTTTCAATTTCAATGTCTTTCAATTAACTTTAATAGTCCACTATTGTCTTCCCCTGTGTTGTTCCATAGTAGGTTGTTGGAATTAGTGTCAGGGAAGCAACTAGCCTGTGAGATGTCCCTCCCTGCCTGATTACTTCCCCACACTGAAGTGATGTGGCAGTTGCACCCTAGTTGCCATTAGTGTTCTATGCAAAGGGCTAGTCTACACTAGCGAAGCACTACATGGGTGCTCTATATTGACAGGAGAGAGCTCTCCAGTGGGCATAATAAATTCACTCTGTGAGAGGCAATAGCTATTGACACTTGCTTTTAGGTTGGTGTAACTTATGTTGCTGAGAGGGGTGGCTTATTCACACCCCTGAGCAATGTCAGTTATACCTAAGTAAGTGGCAGTGTAGACCTGGCCATTTATGCAAGCATAAATTCATAGCCATAATCTGTAAACATCTTTCCCAATGACCATCAAGTACAGAACATTACAAGCTTTTATTAAAAGACCTTACTTGATGTATATTTATACACAATAACGTTGTATACAATCAGTTGATTCAATTGCTTATTCTTGGGGTTCAACCCCTCTTGTTCTCCACTTGGGGTGTCTGGACCTGGATTGTCACACCTGCTACAAAACTTGTGTTTATATGCTTATTGTTAAAGTGATAAAGAAAATGACAGCTTAATTTTCCAGAATATATATATATTTGCTTGTAAAGGGAAATAGATAAAAAGGTATCAAACATTTTGTTACTATCTGTCTAGATATATATATGTCCCCATCACTGTAGTAACAGCTGATGTTTATGTGACCAATTTTATGTCTGAAAATCTGTTTTTGCTAAACAAAATGTTTATAAAAAGGTGTGTGTGTGGGGGGGGATCATATAGTCAGTACTGAGACAAAACTTCTATTGAGGCCAGTATGAGTCCTACTGGTTCAGGGCCAACTGAGTCAAAACCCTTTTGGCACAAAATGCAGTCTGACTGCTCAGTGATGTTTGCTATTTTAGTTGGCGTTCACTGCATTATTTAGTTTGTGGTGTGATCTGTGCTGGAGTAAGAATGTAGAACTGCAACTCCTTTAGGAACCTCATGGAAAATGAATAATGAACTGTGTCTCTCATGAGTCTGCTCAAATTAGAAAGATTTAAAATGAATAAATCACTATCAGATGAAGACTGATGGGCCAAATTGTGGAGCCTACATGGGAGATCTGTATGCTTCCTAATGTGCAAGAGGGGGAGATCAGCTGCCTCTGCAGTTCTGATAGTTTCCTCCAGACTGTGGAGGATAGACTCAGCACAGGACAGAACCACGAGAAACATTTCAATGGGCTCCTCCTCCCTGGCTCCCCTTCCTGCCATTCATACAGTGGGGGAGGACAAGAGGGTAAGATTTGTCCCAGTATAATTTTCAACTTCAAGCCAGTATCTCAGCTTCTTGGTCATTGAGACCTGATGATGAGAGTTGAGAGTCTCTTAAAGGACCAATACCTAGTTACTGCAGATACTAAGAAGACTGTTTTATACGAGGCCTTTAGATGCATGAAAGCAAAAACTTTTGCAAGTTTCTGCTCTTGGCACTCTTGTCTGTGAGGGGAATGGAGAGAGCCATTGCCAGACAGTTAAGAAGTAAATATTTATTTAGAATGCGTCGGGCCATAATCCATTTTCAGTCTGCGTACAGTGATTTATTGGAAAGGGTCTTTGTGTAACTAAACAGTCCCTGCTTCAAACTCCTGCTATGAATAATGGTTGATTTTTATTTTTTATTTGTTTTAATTTTGGGAAGAAAGCAGCCTACAGTACTACTTTTAGTGGGAGAGGGGAGGAAGATGGAAGAGTGTCTTTAATTCTTGATACCTATTTAGGACCCAGTCCAACAAGTGCACCCCAAACAATATTCCAGTTGGCTTTGGTGAGGGTTTGCAAGATTCAGACCTTGTTTATCAATGGCTATCTTTTGGTAGAGGTCATGGGACAAGTTCTTCTAGAAACCAGGGAGGATGTGACAATGCTTCTCTTTTGAAAAGGGAGGAGGATAAATCAGTGTTTATATTAGAAAGGCAAGCAATTAAAACAATCTTGCTTAATTTTAGAAAGTCAGTTGAATGTTTTTCACAACAAGGCTAATGGAGGGCTTTAGAAATAACAGCAAAATGAGAAGAGTCAGCTGTTTTTTCCCTTTTGTTGTTGTTGTTTCTTTTTTTTGTCAGTAAAACTATATGCCAGTAGCATGTGAATTTCTAAATAACAATAAACCCAAACACTTATTCATGTGACTTCAGTGGAACTATTCACATGAGTAGTCTTGCAGGATCAGGCTTAACAATAGTACTTCATATGTCTTATTTTATTTAGAAAATGCATTCAGCTACATATCCTAGACTGAATGGGAATAACTTAGAAAGGGGGAAACACTCCACTGGCATAAAGCCCCAGTGTCTGGTGCTCTGTGTAGATGGAGTGCACCATGTTCAATAATTATGAATGTCATTTCCACAACCGCCCAAATTGGTGTCAGGGCGCTAGGCTACTATTCCAGCTTGCAGGCCTAATTAGTATCTGCAGCTCCTGACCTTCCATACCAGCCCCATAAATTTCTGTGCAGAGATCAATTTAGTATTTTGAGGTGGTTCATCGGTACCCTGATGTAGCAGCTTCGCTCATCTGTCACCCATACAACTCCTATGTGAGGTTTCAGCAGTGCACGAGGCTTTGCCAGACCTCTGCACCAATAGTGAATTTGGCCCATAATGGGCAAATGTGCATGGTGCTCGACAGATAAAAGATGAAGTCTCAGCTCTGAGGAGTTTACAACCTAAAGACAAAATCGTGAGGTTCTTACTCCATTTTTATTCCATCCCTTTTAAAGTCAGTGGCAGTCTGACTAAAGTAAAGATTTGTCTACATGGACAGTCAGGAAACTTAATCCAAATTAACTGAAAGTGTAAATTTGAAGTGGATTAGTAAAACTGCATTATACCCTTCTGTGGACACTCTCATTCAGAATTAAAGTGGCCTTAATTTAGTTTACTTAATTTACAGTGAATTAAGGCCACTTTAATTCTGAATGAGAGAGTCCACAGAGGGGTTTAATGCAGTTTAACTAATCCACTTTAAATTCACATCTTTAGTTAATTTGGATTAATTTTTCTGAGTGTCTCCATTTAGAGGAGCCCCTAAGTAAAGACTTTGGGATCTGACTCTAA